CCCCCCCCCCCCCCCCCCCCCCCTTAGCGCGGCATCAGCCGCGACGAAGGCGAATCCACGTCGACCGAGTCTATGAATTGGGAGAAGGAGTAACTGCTCTCGCTCGCCCTCCATATCCTCCATTTCTCTAATCTCCTCGTCTTCATCCTCCTCCTCTTCCTCCTCTTCCTCCTCCTCCTCCTCCTCCTCATCATCATCATCGTCATCAAAATCAACAACATCATCATCATCATCATCATCATCGTAATCATTATCATGATCGACGTGGCCATTGCCTAAGCGTAGCCCCCCTCCCATCCGACACCCCTCCCTCGCCGCCTGCTGCGCAAACTCCCCGGTAGCAGCGTCGGACCGGTCGTAGGAGGAGGGACCGGTCTCCGGGTGAGAGTCGTCAAAGGCACTCCCTCCCCCTCTCTTTCTCGCTACGGCCACAACGGGAGGAGGGAGAGGGGTGGTTGCACGACGAGGGGTCCTGACAAGGTAACTCTGCCGCAGAACCCTCCACGCATCCTCACCACCACCTCCTCCTCCTCCTCCTCCTCCTCCTCCCCCTCCTCCTCGGATCCGCTCAATGATTGAATCGCGATCTGGAAGAACGGCGTATCCCATCGGGCTTCCTCTTCTTCCCACTCCTCCTCCTCCTCCTCCTCCTCCTCCTCCTCCTCCTCCTGCTCCAGCTCTTTCCTCTGCTACCCCTCTACACGAATCTCTGTCGTCTAATCTCTCTATCCTTCCGCTCTTTTCAGGCCCCAAGCTGCTACCTAATCGTCCTTCTGGCTCCTCTACTCCCCTCTCTGCCTCTCTAGCAAAACCGCCGCTGCGACTCCTCCTCAGCTGATCTTTCCCCCCTCTCCCTCTCCCTCTCTCCTCTCCTCCTCCTCCTCCTCCTCCTCCTCCTCCTCCTCCTCCTCCCCTGTCTCGACAAGGCTGAGCACTCTTGCTGCGGCTCAGTGAACAGACCAGGCTCGTCCTCCCCTGGTCTGCGTAATGCGCCGCCGCGCCTCCCCCTCCTCCTCCTCCTCCTACTCCTCCTCCCCCTCGTCTCACCGGCGTGAGATAAGCGCAAGATCCCGACTCTCCGTAATTGCGACCGAGGGTCTTCTCGCAGGAGATCCCGACTCTATGCTTCGTGCGCTGCTGCTTGCGAGAGAGAGAGAGAGCAGAGTCACCTCCTCCTCCTCCTCCTCCTCCTCCTCCTGCTGCTGCTGCTGCTGCTGCTCCTGTTCGTCCTCCCCCTCCCCCACCCACCCACCCCCT